TAAACAAATGGCAGGAAAATTGAAGTTTCCTGGGCAACGTTAATGCTGACACTGCCCAACATCTAAGTGCTTGACTGTGCAATCTTAGTGTTAATATTTTTTAGACATAATATATAATTAGCAGCAGCCAATTAGGGATGCTATGGCTCCTGTTGGTAACTGGTAATATTTACATTTAAATATGGAGAAAGATTACTGCTGGCTATACTATATTATTTAATTATACAGTCAGTTTAGAAATTAAATTATATCTAAAGCATTTGAGAGATTCCCTTGAGCAGAAGTGATGGAACAATTATTACTGCAATTTGGCATGAGGAAACTTTGCTGAAAGTCTAAAATTTCACCTAATCAGACAACGTGATTAGTGGCCCATGTGTAGGAGCACTCTGCACTGCTGATGAGTAATTTCGAAATGCAGTGTAAGAAAAGTAATGACAATAACTATGCGCACTTTTCCTAAGCAACTAGCATATCAATTTATTAAGCTTTAAAAGTCAGTGCAGAATAATGTAATTAGTGTAAATTCAGTGCCACAATGGAAAAAAAAAACAACCAGCGTGTTTGAGCTTATTACAATCACTATGAATAAAAAGTTTCGGTTTCCGCTGACAATTCAGTTCATGATGCCCAGTTACTACAGCTGAGTAGAGTCTGACAGCTTCATGCCAAACTGCTGGGGCTTTGAAGACATAGGTTTCTAAATTCTTTTCTGGGAAAAGGGGCATTAACAGAAAGGAAGCCTGTGTGCACACAGCTTTCTAGTAAGAGAAATGTGGGTAGACTAATGAAAATAAGAATATGGTCCCTCTGCCTGTCATTGAAAAGTCCACTATACAGCTAGAAGAGAGAAAAAAAAGATGCATGTGAAAACTCCAACTCAAGAAACTTACACACAAACACATTTGGAAGATATAAAGATGACAAAAACAAACTCCAGAGTGAACACAAATGTTTATCTATTTGAGAGCCTGCAAGCAGGAGGAGGTAAGACCTCAACAGTCATAAAGTCCTCTCAAAAGACATGGAAAAATGCAGTGGGTTCCTTTATAGCAAAAATGCCATGCTAAGGTCCTGATCACTTCATTAACTGATAAAGAGCCCCCAGTTTTAGGAGACGTGAACGCACAGATCAGGCATTTCACATTTACTAGACCAAGCCTTGAGCTTAGGCAGGGTTGGTAATGCTTCTAGGTTTCCAAGGTCATGCCACCATCAGACCACACTGTTGGCCTCTTGTGAGGATAGGTGAGTGGTCTTCTGGCTTGTGAACCTGATTGGTGACTTGCCCTTTCTATCAGATGCAAGAAGGACACACTCCACTTGCCTGTGGTCATTCAGCTTCAGGGCTCAGCGCTAGCTCCTGGCTTTTGTCCTCTGACAGACTTGCCTGCCACTTGTCCTCAACTTTATGTTATAATGGAATGTTTTGCCTATAGCTGGTCTTCTGTTCGTGTTCTTGCCTTGCCTTCTGGCTCTAAGTCTGTTCATGGTTTTGCACGGGGTCAGAGGTTTTTAAGAAATCAAGTTTATGAGCAGCCAAAGAAGAACAAGGGCACCTAAAAACACAGGAATGTGCTTATGGATCATCCTGTGGATCCACCTAGCCCAGCCTCCTGTCTCCAAGAGTGACCAGTGATCCTCTGAGCCAAAATAACCACTCAATGTTCTGGAGTGTAAGGTGAGGGCATGGAGGTGCTGAAGCTCCCGCAGTATAGGATCAGACAGAAGAAGTGCATTTTTGATTTAGATCATCTTGTGGCTTTTTAATTCATAAATTTCTCTTTCTAGCTTTTGAACTTGCAATGGCTTCTTACAGTTCTTGGCACTGGGAAGGGTAAGGAGCAGTAATTTTTTATTCATCTCCACTCCATGAGGTGGTACATGAGAAACCTCAGATATATTACGTATTACTACACACTCTGAGGCAGATGGCACAGGTATCTGAGGAGAAGTATCAACAGTGCTGCCCATGGCATAGCAAGAGCTTTTTAAGTGTTTGATGTGCAACAGTATTAATAATGTATTTGGCATCTAGAGATTATGTCACCTTAAGATTTGTGCTTAGAAGCAACACATATGGAAGGACCATTCCCTGGGTAATGCCATACTCCAGATTTCAGTATGGTCACTCACCACCATTATGAACAGGACTTTCAGAGTGGGAACAGTGGAGACAGCTTTAGACCCACTGAAGTAAGCACATGACAGCCTGCTGTAAAGTGCCATTTAACAATTGTTGCACATTCCTAGAAGATTAACTATCCCAGAGTGAGTAAATTCAGTCTGAGAACTTGTCAGGAAAGAATGCAGGTGCATTTTAAACCACAAGTCTCTTTTTGATTGGCAGGTAGCATAAAAATGTGGGAAGTAGATATTTTGATAGCTCATAGACTGTAGTGTAGGGCAAGAAGGTACCAATGAGGTCATTCAGCCTGACCCCTGTAACCCAAACTAGAGGATTTCTCACCCTCTCTCTTGTGTCAACTCCAGCTTCTGGCTGAAGGTGAACAAACTTCTCAGTCCCAAAGATTTTACTGAATTGCAGACAGATAGAACGATATCAAGGAGACTTCTTAAGATGGACAACAAATTAGGATCCTCTAAACCTATCAAGAAATTTTTTTTCCTTACACTTTATCCTAAGTATGGACTTCATAAATCAATAACCTGACATATGGACATACTTGCTTAGAACTTAAAAGCTCTGAAACAAATGCTGCATGCAAACATGCAGAAACAGAAGAATCTAAAGACAAACCAGTATCCACTTTCTCTATGCTATTTTGTTTAGGCCTAACTGTATTTGTAAACCACAACTTGCAGTGACATTATATTTAGAGCTCTGAGTTTAAATGCAAACTCCATTTTGGAGAGATTTAACACTCAGCCCTTCTAACTCGAAATCCCTTAGAGTAACAGGTTGATGGAGGCATTGCAACACATAAATCAATCCCAGTAACTTCTGCTAGAATAGTGAAAACATGACATGCTGCTCTGCCTCTGCATGGAAGAGGGAAGAGGTGGGACAGAGAAGGAGGAGGAGAAGAGGGCTTCAGGAGCAGCAAACACCAAAAAGTGACAGCAAGGAGGTGACAAGTGTTAGTTGCACCAGCCACTCTGTAATGCATACTGAGGGGACTGATGGGGCAGCCCCAGGCTGGGCACCTTTGGTGGCCTCACCTCTGAGCTCTCTGCAAGAGGCATGATATAGCCTATAATGAAAGAGAGAAACATTACACACTTGAGGAATATTTGAGGTGGGACAGCTAAACTTCAAGCCATATTTTTATGCATAGAATGAACAATGGAAAGCTTCTCCACTGTTTTCAGTAGCAATATACATTCTAAAAAGCATGGATATATATTTGAGACCAAAAGCTTTAACTGAGATTTGCTTTGTTATTGTCCAATATCAAGGGGATATGTTAGACAAGGGTACACAGATACAGAAAAACCGAGATTTGGAGAAATATTTTCTAAAAATACTGGCACATTTGATATAATGACATTAAGCACATTTCACAGCTTCAGTTAGAGAAAAAGGGGGAAATTCTGCTCACATGCTTTCAGAGACAGAGAAAAAGGGCGGTGCTGATCCAAGAAAGATATGATTCAGTATTTCAAACTCCCTGAAAGTAAATTTTGCTCACTAGACAGGAAGGAATTTTTTAATATTAACTCTGTGTATTCTCTGTAGACTTCAGTTGCCTACACACATAGACAGCTAAATGATCATGTAAAAGAGGAGCTTTCTAATTTTACTTATTGTCATATTTTTGACCCGCATTTTACGTAGACAAAAACTTAAAGGTTGTAAGTACTTGCTGTATCAGTGCCCTGCTGCACATAGCACTCATGGGATATATTTATGCTGAATTTGCACAGCTAGGATTTCAATGGCACTCATATGGCACCCTGAAGGCCAAGAGGATCCCTGACCCTAAAGGAGACACAGTAAAATGATGAAGAAAATAGTAAGGATGTAACAAAGAACTGAAAGACTCCTCATGAAAGCAAACAGGAAGGAACTTCCTGTTGAAGAGAACAGTCAATGGGTTTCTTCAGTGAACTGTGTGTAGTGACAGATGCAGAAACATCTTGGATGGACACATTTGGTCTTAGAGTACAAGATAAGCACCTATCCCCAAAAGATTTAATTAAACTCTCCTTAATTCAGAGGAAAGAAACAAAAGGACAGGCAAGCATCCACAGGCCACAACTAACAAATGGGCTTCTGTTGTTTAGACAGACATTTGTGCTTCCATCGTGAATAGCTGTGGAAAATAAACTACTGGAAAAAAAAAAGCAACAATGGGAAAAAAACCCCAACACTCTGAAGAGCAGTATACGGTATCTTGGGGCTGAGACTGCAACATTTACACACAAATAACTTTATGGATGCTGATGGTTCACTTAACTCAAAAGGATTTTTCTCATGTTTGTGTCATGTTTGGCTTGTAATATGTCCCTACATGGAGTGCACAGACATGAGAGCAACCTGCTACCTCAGAAATTTATGCTGTAGTGTGAGGACTATGGGAACAAGCAGCAGGTGATGCTGTAAAAATCATGATTTCTACCATGGGATGAGAGGAGTATGTGAAACTGTGGCAATATAGCACCTGAAGTACTACATTACTTGGGTCCAAACTTTTTAAAATGTCTTTATTTTTTGGGGGGGGGGAGGGGTATTTCTTTCCCTGACTAATTTCAGAGGACTTGTTAGTGAAACCTGACTTCAATCAACTCTTTCAGACCACAATATTGCTGATATTTTAAGAGATAAAAAGGATAAAGCCAAGAAGCAGCACAAGCTGTTTATCATCTTTGTGTAAGCCCCCCGCCTTCCCTGCCTAGCTCACACGCATGCCCAGAACCTGACCTAATAAATATATATACCTCTGAAGGCTGATTTGCTGCAGGAATGTGACCTAACACCTTGGTGGGGACTGTGGAATTAACCTTCTGGTCAAGAGTATGATAAGCTGTTTTCATACCTGCTCCAGCACTGAAGCACAGCATTGCACAAATGCGGCTGGACTTCTGCCGGTCCATGAGTGCCATCTTGAAGGGGTTTTCTCCATTGCCTAAAATCACGTGAGGCTTTTGTTGTGTTTTCTTTTGCTTTGTTTCGTTAATCCAAGAGCAAGTAACCCAAATCAACTGTGCTTAAGCAGGAAACATAAAGAAGACAAGCCACTTTTGCCATGAGGTAGACTTGCTAGACCAGCCCCAAGCATACTGTCAAAATTATCACCAAGTTACATGGGAACAAGTGCACCCTGCCTTCAGTGTGTTTTACAGGAGGGCAGCCCATATGCTGCATGTACTGCAGTTGCCCCAAGCTACAAATGTAGGGTTTTTAGCAGCCAAACTGATCCCATGGTGTTCCTCACCAATACCAAGCCTCCAGGCAGCTGTGGAGCCTTTTCATTGGGAACTGAAATGATTCACTAAATTGTAATTGCAGATCACTGTTTGGTTAGACTTCAATGCCTAAGGATCAATGAGATATCTAATTAGAAATCTTAAGTTTGAAATATGTTTATAAAAGTTTACCCACTGCTATAAAATTTACATGTCTCAAAGGAGATACATTTGAATTTCTGTAAGGAGTTTCTTGGTGTATTTGCTTTAAAGTATTTCCTACAGTCAGCTGTTATACGCTGTGTTTACAGGACAGCCCTGAAAAGATACTTTTAATTACTTTGACTATGAAAATATCAAGTTTAAAGTCAAAACCTACAGCCATTTTTGTGCTACTTTGTGTGTGTAGGTGCAAAGGCTCATATCTGTAAGCACCTCCAGGGCTGGACCCAGAGTTTAGAAATAAGCTGTGTACTTTTCTTTCCTAATAAGGAAATACCTCCTAGTCTTAGCAGTTAAAGGACTTCAGACTTTTATTCTAATGTCTGCAGCTTAATAACCAAATTCTGTTTAAAACTACATTCTTCTGTGCATACGAGGTCTAAAAGAGAGCTTTGCTCTTCTTGCACGCTCCAATAAACTTACAAAAACAACCAGAGATTTATTTGGCCAGACTGCACTGCTCTCAAAGCTTTCTCTCTCCTCACTTTATTATCAGCAAGGAAGAAGTTAAAAAGAAATAAAATCCAGCATTGACTCATTTATTCTTCAGGTTATATTGATTTCTTCTTCTTCTTCTATTTTTTTTTTTTTTTTAATAATACATTACATGTTTAAGTCTTACCAAATACTGCAAGAATTTTTGCTGGGCTGTTTGTCTTAAGCACAGCCATCAGTTCATAGATTAAAATGTGCTTTTATGTAAATTCCTACTTGTCTTTTATAGACAGCAGAATAATTAAATGAATTTAATTATTTTTCCTAGAATAAATCAATATATACAGAGATGATGAAAGATTTAATAAAGATATTTCCTACATTAGGGACTAGTTCTGCATTCTCTACTATGAATAGCATTTACAAGAATAATGCTATTCCCATTCTAGTCAATGGGACTGCTCACAAGGGTAAAGAGTGCATTGTTTGACCTCATCCTTGTTCATTAACAACTATAAAAATTCCATTAGACTACTTAAGGAAAAAACACATAGAAAGAGAACACTAATAATTTTACTAATATTGCACACAAACTAAAAAAATTCTTTGGCAATGCTAGAGCCCTCTGGATCATGATCTCAGTCTTGTTTTGTTAAATATTATTATCTCTATCTGCAGTGCCAAACCTAGAGCAGTGGAAATTTTTTGCAAATAATTAATGTTATAAAGATAGCATTCTTCTCCTGCTGGATAAATTACCTACGAACATACTGTGATTTTTACTATATATTAGAAATATGCATGAATACACCACAGATTAATTATTTTAATTCACTGCACCCACAGTTACATTACCTTAGTCCCTTGCTGTAGCTTATTTTCCTGATGAACTGACTTGGAAGAATCTTTATGCCACTGCTTATGAGTTCCTGACCAGATGAATAGGTGAATAGCTGCACTGGTCAATGTCACCCTTACGGATAGTAACAAGAGTCCTTCCTCTATCCCTTTTACTTACTTACTTTCTTAGTCTGTACCCAGGACTCAATGGATGTTTTGCCTTTAGTTCCATCTCCTTACTCTTTCCACCTCTTCAACACTTCTTATTCTACATGACTCTTCAATGAAGACACTGCCTGTGCTACAGGAGTCTCTCCATTGTTCCAAGTTCTAGACTTTAGTGTTTATCTTGTGCTCCCTCCACTGACAGCAACAGACCCAGCTTCTCCATGGGCAGGACGTGGCTCTTCTTCAACTCCTCCGCTGTGCCAGATCACAGCAGCATGTCCTTGGATTAGTAACATCAGTTCCGAGCATCTTTAGCAGTGTTGATACACTGACAGCACTTTAGACAGCAACTCTCATACTTCCCATTCTGATCTGCAATCCAGATGACTTTTTCTAGGTAAATATTCCTCCCACAAAGGAAAGAAAGAAAGAACCAACAATCTTTCACCTACTGAAAAGTCACTGATCTCATACCCTTCCCCTGATCAAAATACATTAGCGCCTCTATAGCATAGGAGACTCAGTGCATCTCAACACAAGTGCTTTTTGCTCCCCCTCTTCATTCCGAATTCTCTTCCCTACCCATTGAGGATTCATCATCTGACTAATTTCACCAAGTAGTAACAGCTGAGGGACAGGTCACAAGTCTCCACTGCAGTAACAGAGCAAGAACAAAGGTCTACCTTTAGCAAATGCCTTTTTGCTGAGGAACCTTTAGCAGATGCCTTTAGCAAAAGAACCACCAAAGCTAGAAGCCCCCAGGACAGAAACACACCATGGACACAGAAGTTAGCAGACATTCAGCCTGCTGCAGCAACTGCTTTCAAATGGCATGTGAGCAGAACAGAGGTGGTGGCTGTTTCCGACAGAACATTGGCACAGCAGCTCATTCTGATGACTGTACTGTAAGCACTCTCCTATGCAAATATTTAATGAACCATGATAAATCACATCTGAAAAATGCTGGAGAACCTGACTAACCAGATTAATGCGGTCAAGGGAAATCCATCAACAAAAAACTGAAAGGGAACTATAAAAGCAAAGCAAAATCTGCTGGTGGTGGCAGTTCCTACAAAACTTTGATTTTCAGATACGTCTAAAGAATATTGATGACTAGTAGTTTACTTGGAAATTATTTAATGTAAACACTAAATTGGAGGTTTCAATCTTTTTCAGCCTTTATAAAATATTTTGAAACTAAGCTGCAATTTCTACCACATGAGGCATAAAATCAATTAAAGGCTGTTTATGCTCCAGCAGACTTGTAACTACACCGCTTAACGTTTAGCCAGTATGTGTTTTAATATATTTTTGTTAATTTTTGAATGTGAATCTAGTATTCAGTTTTGGTCTTCCTGGTTCTTCCTGCTAATAGGGCCTATGCTGGTCTGAGTCTTACCCTTTAACAAACATAATATGCACATTTTATTAATATGGCTATTTCCATGAGCAAAACTATCTAGGCTTTGCCTATTTTGCATTCAGTAGTATTATGCCCTTCAACAGGTCAATTGCTACATAGGAGATGGACCATCTATATTGATAAGGTTTGAAGCTGAAAGGGTTGTGAAGAGGAAGCTGCTCTGATATGGAGGCAGGATAGGAATGGGCAAAAGGGAATTATAGTCCCATTTGATGGCATCATTCAACGGAAGAATATGTTCTGGGCTGCCTAATGTTAATGAAAGAGTAAGTCCTCTCCTTTCCATACCCTTTGCCACGCAGCAGTCCGTCCCTGATAAACCAACAACTATGTTAAGTGAGTTACCATCTCATCAGCAGAGTATGAAACCATGTCTATACATAAATGTGGGGCCTATGCACACCTCTTGACTTGCTTGGGGAATGTATTCCATGTGTATGTAATGAGGCTGGGGAGCAATTCTGAATTCTGCAGAGGAGTGGGGACTGCTCAAAGATAAAATCAGACCAACTTGAGGCTGAGGACTTTCTTTTCTAATTAGCTGTAGTGATGCTTCAGGATCTCACTTCTGAAGTCCACGCACAGAATTGTGCCTATATGTTGACTGTAGTTATCAAATGCTTTAGTCTGGGATAAGTGAGAACAACAACTAGGGACAGTTCCACAGAATCAAGCAAAAATATATTTCAGATGCCCACATAACTCCTCAGGAATCTATCAAGAGAATCCTCCTGTCATGAAGCCTTCAGAGAAGTGTGGGATGACAGAGTATGTGAGGCATGGAGAAGACAAAGGATTCTGTGCTCAGATATTTGCATTCTTAGACTAACTATCAAACAAAATCTATTGTTTGATGACAATTCGCATGACTGCCAGTTTTCTTTTCCCACAAACACTGGCAATAAGAAGATAAAGGCGACAATGTCCTCCTTCATAGCTTTGCATTCCTACCACATTGCCACCAATACACCCCAATGAAAAATAAGGCCAAAATCCCAAGACCTAAGCTGTTACTGTAAATTGGTTGTGAGGTGAATACTTTTTTTGGTAGCCAAGTCAATATGTGGTGGCTTGATATGTTCGTGACATTACAGCCTATGGCTTTCATTTCAACTTCCAAATTCAACAGGCCTGAACTCTAACACAATGTCCTAGCAGCCTCTTACCACAGGCAGTGCAGCAGATGAAAACATAGGCTCTTCAGTGGGAAAACTGTTCCACCTACATTCACAGTGAGCCTGGATTTGAATCAAAAACCCCTAAAAAATTAGAAGTGATATTAAGCCATTGGTGAATCTATTTTAAATTTATATTAAAAATATCAATCAAATACCAATTTAATGACAAAATATCAATCAATATCAATCAAAAACCAGTTTAATATCATATATATTCTACAGAGCAATACTTCAGACTGTTAGAAAGGACCATGCCAGAGATGTGCACTGCAGCAATAGTGACAGTCCAGCAAAAGCAAGCTGATTTTTTTCTATTCATTAGGATGCAAAGTTCAACACTTGCATAATATTTCTGTCCCCACCTTTGTTCCCTGAGTATAAGAACAATACACAATCCAACCCACAGCACAATTCTTCAATGCCCTCCACCC